ATCCCCTGGAGAGCTTGTTATACAGGTAGATTCTGGAGCCCCGGCCCCCACTTGGAGAAGAACAGTCTTTGTGTTTAGCACTCTGCTGTCCGCGTTCCAGACCAATTCCATAGTCTTTCCCTCCACACACTGATGTTGTACTTATCAGCGTGCCACCTAAAACTGATAAAAATAAAAACTGTAAAACCAATGCATGGTCTAATCTCTGACTTATTAGCCATGAAAAAATATTCATTCCAGATTATTGTTTGGATGCCTGGGTCATTCGATGTTTTCCTTTACATGACAAAGACTTGTCCCCGGCGCTAAGGGAATTCACAGGAGAAAAAGTAGGACTTTGATTTTGTGGGATGAGCACTTACACTCCAAGAGTTCAGTACCCCTGGGTACTTCTGAAGGTCAGAGGAGGGAAAGTTAAGCCTGGCTGCTCCTTGATCAGAGATGGCCTTGTAGAGTAGGGGGTCTTAAGTTGTGTGGAATTCACCAGGGGATTTTAGGCGTGTGGACATCTGAGCTGTGGCGCAGGGCGCAGGGTGATACGGGGCAGGGGAGGGTAGATGGAGTGAATGGCATGTTGCCATTGTTGTTCAGCTGCGGGGCATAAGGAGGAACCAGTGGAACCCGAAGCTGAAAGATAAGGAGAGGCTGGACTAGAAGCCCCTTGTAAGCTGTGCCAGGACCCTGGCCTCTGGCCTGCCTGGGACTCTGTGCAGACCAGGGAGCAACCAACATGAAGCATAAGTGTGCACTGCCTCTCAGAGCCTCCTAAGGAAGGGAGTGCCCTCTAGGGGCCGAGATGATGTCTGAATGCTGTTCATCATTGTTCTTGGGCACTCGGATGCCCAGTGAGCTGAATCCATGACCTGTGTGAGGGAGAAAAAGACAGCTTAACCAATCCACCTGGCTGCAGCTGTGATTACATTATGCAAACATTTATTGATATGCTACCTTGATTGGTCATTATCTTAATACTGAGGTTAATGTTAGAGGCTTGATTTTTCTGGCAGATTGCAGATACAGGTTCCTTCTTGTTTAAAAGGCCTCAGAGCATCTATTGTGTGAGTCTATTTATAGGAACTGCCCAGAATAGGCCAACCCATAGAGACAGAACATAGATCAGTAGGTGCCAGGGGCTGGTGAGGCTGAGTGGAGAGTTCAGGGTTTCTTCTCGAGGCGATGGAAATGGTCTGAAATTAGGTAGCGGTGATAGTTGCCCAACCCTGTGAACATAATCCACCAAATTACACACTTCTAAAAGGGGTGAATTTTATGCTATGTGAGTTTCATCTCAAAGCTGTTATTTAATTATTTTATTTATTTATAATTTGTTTGAGCTCTCAGCACTTCTGCTTCAAGGTATCATGCTGGTGTCCTTTTATTCTTTTTACAATATAGAAATCTCACTGCTTTCCTTCTCACTTTCTTTCATTTAGTTAATATTGTCCCCCTTTTACTCATCTCCTGTTCTGTCTCATCATTAAAAAGTATTTCTTTAACGAATCTACATGTTAGATCCAAAGAGAGCTTGTGGGAAGATGGATTATGTGAGTCACCACAAAACAGTGGGAGGAGGGCCTTGAAAAGTATGGAGTTCTTTGAGGCTGGCCTAGAAAGACAGATGGGCTCTAGACAGACAGCTGGAGAGGAGGGGGTGGTGGTGGTGGACTGGGTAGGCAGTGCAGCCTGGGCTGGTTTGGAGAATAAAAGTGTGGCTGTAGCATAAGGAAAATGAAGACAAATACCAGGAGAGAGAGATTGGGGAAAACGGTATGTGGGCCTGAGGGTATTGAATGCAAGGCTGAGAAGTTGACCAATCAAGTGAGGAGTAATTGAAGATTTTAGACTACAAAGTACAGGCGCGCTGAGCCATAGGATGGATATGGTGTAGTTTTGGGAAAGGAGAGATTTGGGTGAGTGGGGACCAAGTTAGAGCCTAGACATTGAGGGAGGGAGGGTTTCAAACATGAAGGATAAGGGGTGACATCAGTTTAATAAGTGTCTCTTCCTCGAGTTAGTCTGCTGTCCCTCCCACTAATCCACGTTTTCTCCATCCTCTTGCTTGCTTTTTATTCAGGCATTGGGATAAAAGGTAGGAGGAAGATTGGGTGGAGGAGGGGAGGGTGGTGCAAAAAAAAAGAATAAAACTGAAGAAAAAAGGTGGTGAGGACAAGGTATAGTTTGCATGCTTCAGTTCTGTAATTCAGCGTTTCCTTTTCATGACTTGCTGGAAAAAAATCTAGTCTCTTTTCGTGGAAAACACAGGACAGGAGGTCTTCTTCACTTTCAGGTCACTGGGTGGTCTGTGCCTCCCTAGCCTCATCAGGAAAAGGGAAGCTGCCTACCTCCTGTGCCGGTAAACCAGAGACTCTGGGATAATCTTATTAAAGCCTTTTAAAGAATCCATTGGACTCCCCTAATTTGTAGACATAATAAATTTCCTTGGCAGATAAGGGTCCTGGTGACGTCCCCCATTTGTTATCTGACAGAGTGAGCGTAGACATAAGGTAACTCATGGCCGCTGCATTCTGCTGAACTATGTGAAATTGCTATTCAACTATTTTTCAACCTGCAAAAAACTGGCTGTTCCATAACGTTTCAACCCCAGAGCTAGTTGCTTGGTAGTTATCTGCCACGAGCCGACTTTCACCTTTTCTCAAGAATTTTTTTTCTATATTAAGGGGCTAATGATCTTTAACATCTGCAAAGTCTCAAGTTCAGGGGAAGCTGTGAGAAGTTAAAAGAAGGCAACAGGTAGGGAGAGTTTGCCAAGGGAGATGCAGAGAAGGGGAAGGTGCCGAGAGGAGGCCAGCAAGCAGAAGCCAGGACATGGAGTCCTTGGACCTTGGACATGGAGTCACTCTGGTTTAGAAGCGAAACTTCAGCAAAAGGGTTTCCCTTTTCTCAGTGGCTTCGAGGGCAGTTTTGTACAGTGTCAGGTCTTCTGAAACATGCTAGGGACACCCGGACAACCGAGGTGAGTCTCTAGGGAAACAAGAGCTACTTGAGTGTTGGGACCTGGATCAAATGTTAAAGGGCAAATGCAGAGCCACTTAGTCATGGTTCTCAGGTTGGTGTGATTTCCGACAGCCTAGCCGAGAGCCAGGCACATAAGGGCACATACTGTTCAGTAGGAAGGTCACTGAAGGGTTGAAGGACAACAGGTGAAGACTCATTTTTTTGGTTGCTTGTATGTTCTTTGGAGTTTAAATTAGAATGATTAGGCGAGAATGAGAATCCCAGCTGTCCTTGCAAGGATCTTTCATTGTAATCACATCCAGATAGTGGGATCCTAATGATTACAATTTATGTCATCATTTTAATGTAAATAGTTTATTGCTACTGGACTGTCGTATGGTTACGTGCTTAATGCTGCAGGGGCTGGGCATGTAAAGACGAAAGGATAACCCTACTAGGGACTAAAAGCCCAGTTCGTATCGACTCGGTCCTGTAGGTGATTGTCCTGTAGGAAGACAGATTATACTTCGAGAGCTCCCAGCTCCACTCACAGAAAACAGGCAGACGTTTATTGTAAACCATAAGCAGAAATACCATTGAGCAAAACCTTAATTGTCTACCACCCGCTTCTCCCAGAAATCCAATGTAGCCGTCACCCCCACGGAAGAAGCCTGAGAGGCCGGCCTTGGTCTTCCATACCTTCCCAGTGGCTTTCATGGTCTTTGGTGCGGATTTTAACTTCCATTTGTTTCCTTTTAGTTCTGCAGTTCACTAGAAAGGCAGTTAAACCTCTGGACCTGATACTGAGGTTCTCGCGGACTCCAGGAATATTTTAATTTACTAGAGACCCGAAGAACGATAGATGAGCAAAGTAGTCACTTACCTAAGAAGGGGGTCAACGAGAGTTCATGAATGCGCTCATAGTCCCTCCCTGCTGGCAGTGTTACCTTCTCCTCTCGCCCCCACCGTATGTAAACACCCGCACACTTCCTGGAAGATGTCTTCTCTAAGGAGATCTTCCTTTCACTTCCATCTACCTGGGAACCCCCTTTGTCATTCTCTCCACCCTCTGACCACACTTCCGCCTCCGGAGATCCCAGGGCCTGGCTCCCTGCTCCTCCCCTGTATCACATTCACATCCTGACACCCTGCTGCTGTGCGCTTCTCCTTCCTGCCTCCTGTTTCATTCTCTCAGACCAGCAGGCGGTGGACCACAGTGCTTTCTCCTCTCATTTTTACCTGCCGCTGTTTCCCTGGGTGTAGGCCAGTCTCACAGCTAGCGTTGAAGTTGTGGGTGCGAGCCCGCAGAGCTAGCTTCAGGCCCTCGAGCGCCTCATTCGTGCAAGTAGCGAGAAAGGCACACACAGCACAGAAGACCCCAGATTAAGACTGTCCTCTTCCAAATAGCATTGCAAAGCCCACTTACAGAAGCTCAGGCCATTCATATACAAAGAGCTTCTGAGCCTCCAGTGAGGGTCTGCTTCCTCTGTTAGATGCAATTACAAATTAACTAGTGTGGTGAGGGTGCCACTAGACACACAGAAGAAAAAAAAAAGAAAAAAGATGGAAAGCCAATAACTTAATAGTTGAAAGGAGGGCCAGAAAAATCTCTGGAAAATACCTACAGGTCAGCAACAGAGCAGCAGCATGGCACTGGGGAGCCCAGCTCTGCGGTGACCGAGGGCCTCGGGGATTTATGGGGTAACACAGTGCATGCCCATAACAATGGCCCTGAGTCCTCAGCAAGATGATATGCTCAATGCTGGTCTAGTTAAAGAAGAAATGAAGTCATGCATTTATTTAGGAATATTTCTGTCAAAATGGTAAACATTTAAAATCTGGGTGTATGTTATGTAGATGAGTCTTAGTTCTCTGGGATGCAAATTATGTTGGAGCCCCTCCTGCCTCCCCCCTCCCCAGTGACACCGGATACACAGGAGCAGGGTCATCCCGTGGAGTTCCCTGGCCGCAGCCACTTTGTGGTCTCCCGACTTCTGTGTTGTTGTTTATTCATGGGGTTTTCCTTCCCTTTTCTTTGGTTTCAGATGCGAGTGTCTCTCTGGCTTATGTGGTTTCCCCGTGTGTGAGGTGGGATCCGTTCCCCGCATAGTCTCCCGTGGCGATGGGACTCCTGGAAAGTGCTGTGATGTCTTTGAATGTGTTAATGGTACGTGGGGTCTCTTGTTCTCGGAGCGTGGACATTGGTGCTGGAGGAGGAGGGAGGGTTCCATCCAGCCGGTTCTGCCTTTTATATATATGGCAGGGGATACACACAGGGACTCGATGACAGACACTCCCTCCCAAAGGAGGCTTGGTTATGGTCCCAGCGAGCGGTAAGGGACGCTAGGGAATCATCATCCCACCCATCAGAAAGAGAATTTTGGAAATGTAATAGCACATTGCACGGAGCTGTCATATTCTGCAGTTTCAGGAGCATGGCAATTTTAGGATTTTTTTGGAAAAAAAAAGAAGATCATAGAACCTGTGATCATATTGCTCCTGTCATCCTCCCCTCATTACATGGCCGCCAGGAGGCAATGGATGGAACTGACACCCCAGGGGAGCTGCCGCAGGTTGAAACAGAAAAGACATTGTTCCCCCAGGCTCACATTTTTCTGCTCAGAGAGGACATCTCTGACCGGGGCTTGGTCACTGGCATTGGCCTGCTTTCAGTTCGTGTCCTGTGGCCCAGAAATAGGATTCTCCGGTCACAGGATTCCTTCAAATAGAATCCACCTCTCCCTTTCACCTTGCGTGAGAGGGTTCGGTGTTTGGGGACAGGGCGTTCATTGAATTTAGATGCTGGAAAAAAGGGGAACCTAACCCAGGCCCCTCCACCAGGATTTTCAGAAGAAACACAAAGAGTGAAACTCAAGTGACACGTCAATAATTGTAGCGCATTGCTTCATCAGTACCTAGACTCAACAAGGAAAATGAAGATGGACTGGCACATGCAACAGAATTGCACATACTGAAACATACCAACGCCTGCCCATAAGAAATCAGCTCAGAAGATTGTCCGCCCTCCTCCCGAGCCTCCCTTCCCACACAAGAAAGGTTTTAGGACAGTTGAGTCCTGTTCCCTTGCACCCTGTAGTGTTTTAGTCCAGTGGTCACATGTTGTTTTGTTTTGCTTTGAAGAAATACTTGCAAGATGGCTTTGTGGTTAAGAGAGATCATAGACAGGAACCAAATGACCTCCGTTTCCACATCTATAAAATGGAATGAATGACCGTAAATGGAGGTTTTACATGTGAAGCACTTGGAATTGTCCCTCGAGAGCAAGCAGTCTTATTATTTTGTATTCCCACCTCCTATTCACATCCACAGACACTGTCCTGGACATTCCAGGGAGTAGAGAAGGTGAGGTGAGCTTCTGACCTAAAGACCTCCGTCCCTCTCTTCTCGATGCTTCTCCATAGCCATACAGTCATGCAGCCAGGAGTAGTGTCTGCTAAATACCAGCAAATGGCCCAGCAGACTCGTTTGCTCTGGTATCACTGCGGTTTGATTGATTGTAGGTGCTTTTCTGTGAATATTTAAGTCATACCATTTGAGATGGAAATAGTGGCTCCTGACCCTGGGCTCCCAGCATCTCAGATGTGCTCACCACCCTGCAAGTGTGGGTCCGTCTCACTCTGGAACCCGAGCTGCCAGAGGCCGGCAGTCTGTCCTTGCAGTCTGTCCTCGCATCTGGGCTGTTAGCACACCGTCTGCCTCAGGCAGGGCACCAGGTTTAGTTGGGTGGGTGCGTGAGTGATCTGACTCAGACCATCTTAGTTCCCTCTACAGGGGGGCTGTTGTAATGCCAGCCCATGGAGGGGTTCGTTTGGGGTGGTCTTCCATCTTCTGCCCTACACTTGAAGCTTAGGTCACTTCCCTTGGAAGTACCAGCTCTGGTACACAGTTCGCTGTTGTGGCCCCTGGATGGCCTTTCTTCTTGGATGTAGGAACCCAAGCCTCGTGCCTTTCTTCTCCGGATGTGGACCTTATGTCTCGCTCCGATATGACATGACTCGGACAGCTAGTGACCACACCCCCACCTCAGTGGCCTGGGCTCATCTCCAGGGCTGCCCTGTGTAAAGCCTCACTTTTCATAGGGCCCTGAGTTCAGGAACAGGCCGTGCCATCTGCCAGGAGACGATGTTGAGACGACAAAGCACAGTCACAGTGTTTCCAGGGAGCCTCTTTCTTGCCGTCATAAGCTTGTTGGGTGATCTTCGTCTCATCTCTTGTCCTGCTATCAGTGTCGCTGTTGCTCTATTAATCATTCATTTGTAGATGAGAGTAGAAACTATAATACTGTGAAGATTTATTGTCCTGCTGAATATTAAGGACATTCTGTCTCAAAATCTCTTTGACTTCTTTAGACATATATAAGCACATTACGCACACCTGCCTTGCACACACACAACATACACATGTAAACACACATACGAGTATGTGTGTGGATGTTTGTTTATTTGCCACCTAGTGCCCCGGGAAACTCTTACTGTTGTCATAAGTTTACCATCAAAGGATATTGCTTATCAGAGATTTATTATCATCACCTAGAAAAGCAGAAGTCTAGTGTGTGTGTGTGTGTGTGAAGCCTTGTTTATACGCAAAGGATTTGAGGCTTTACAATGAGAATAGGTACAATAATGTGGAAATATGAGTGAAAAAAGAGATTCGGAACCACAGGTTAGTACATAAAGGTTGAAAGTGAAAGGCAAAAAGAAAGGGCCCACAAGTAAGCAGGCCATGAGCCTCCACCTGTCCAGCCGCTGGAGTTCAGCGTCAGGCAGGCTCCCGACCTCCCGGCCGCCGCAGTGAAAAGGGCGATGGAGTCAGGCCCCCGGGGCAGGGCCACACTGTCCTCACATGGAAACTGGAGAAGGTGCTGTCGGTGTTGTGCTCTGTGGCTCTAACACCAATGCAGAAACCGGTTTCCTGTGGCTGCTCTTCTCAATGAAACACAAAAGCAAACTAGGAAAATGCAGCTCAGGGAAAGCAGTTCTAGGGGATCATTTGGACACACAGCTGGAATCTAGATGCCTGTGGCATGGTCTCTCCATTTGGAGATTTCCCCAGCACGGAGGAGTAGATGTGGGACAAGCCCAGCTCCGAGGGCGGCGGGTGACTTACTGTAGCAAACCTACCTGCAGAAACGGAGGTTATAGGGCTGTGCTCCATTCCCGAGCTGCCCTCCTGATGACCCACGTGCTTACCTTATTTTGTGTGTGTGAAAACACAAGATGACAAGATGGTCACAGAGAATTCAAGAACTCCTAAGCTTCGAAAACGTTCGCCTGGACAAATAGATGGACAGAACATCCTCTGTAAACATCACCTCCCTTTGCGGTTTGGTTTGTTTTGGTTTGGTTTTGGCGGAGGGCCGGGAGGGTTGCCAACCAGATAGTGACAGGTTGTGAATGCTATTCTCTGATGAGGGCCAAAGGCAGGACTCGCAGGGTGTTGGTGAACGAGTGCCCTGTTGTTTAGAAACCAAAGGAGCAGATGGTGTGCTTGAGCCGCTTTTGTGTAAACGTAGAAATCATCAAAATCATCACCTACAGGATGGTTTTCATAGACGGGGTGGAGCAACCCCAGGCATCCTTCAAAAACCAGTTCTGGGTCCACTCCAGCCCACACACAAGCTTTCATCACCTGTCACCTGGCCGAGTGACGCCTTCCTCAGAGGGGTATGTGCTCTTGATTCTGTCCCGGGGCACCTGTTGTCCCACCCTGGCCCACCCCTGTCATCCCTGGGGGCATTAGGATTGGAAATCTCAGGGGTCCAATGTGAAATACCATTTGGTGCCTGAGATATGACCAGTGGTCCACTGTGCACGACAACAATCTAAATAAAACAGAACATTTTGGTTTGAGAGTCATAGCTAATCGCTGACTCTTCCGGCCTCAGAAATGACCACGTAAAACGGAGCCATCACAGGAGAACCTTACCCAGTCAGCGTGACCCGCCTGCAAAACTTTGGCCTAGAAAACTCAGACCTGAAGTCTGTTAATAAGAAAATTAGTGCAAACACATCTACTGAGAAACCATCGTCTATATAGCAATAATGCTCAGTAATGTGTCTGGGGACACACTCTTCTTCAGAGTCATGGAAAGCATATGGCATTTTGAGAGAACATAGTCCACCTCATATGCATGTATTGAGTGCCCAGCCTGTTCCTGGGACCTTATCGAGCTAATGTTGCTTAAGAGTGATACAGTATTTAGCAGTCCTTTATGAGTATTGCTCCTTCTTCCCTATCCCAAAAGAATATCTGCTTGGTGTACTCCAGCACACAAACTCCCTTCTCCCATAGGGGGGAAAAAGGTTTTTATCCATGAACCCAGTCCTTGTGAGTGTTGGTTTGCTGTTGACCTGCAGGGACATGCTCAGAGGTTCTCCTCTGTGAACACAGTGGTCCCTCTTGTAGCCTGTGCTGTCCACCCACTTGGCTTCCTGTTCGGCTCACCCCCAGGGGGCTGAGAGCAGAGGCAAGGAGAGCAGAGGCGAGGCACTAGCCGTGTTCAGCTGGGAGATTGAAGAGAAGCAGCAGCGCTGTACCCCTTTGGATTTATTCTGCATTTTAGCCTCCCCTTCATTAAAATTATATCTCTCTCCCCAGCTGCCAATCAGCTTGACTTGGCAGGCAGTCCAGGTTATTGACAGTCAGTACCACCAGGCCGGCTCTCCTCCCGGAGTTCTGGAATATATTAAAGAGGGAAGAGGGGATCTCGGAACTGGGAAACAACATTTAATTGGGCAGACACAGAACACGGAAAGTCGCTACAGAGACGCTTGGTATGCATCTCTGCACTGAAGAGTACAGATGACATAGCGAATTCCTTCTTCGCAGAGTTTTTTCTTCTCTGCAGCCATTTAAGTTGCCCTCTTGTAGAGGCTGTGATCGTCTCCATGTCTCCACGCTGGCTGAGTTCGCACCCTTCCCCGGCAGGTGAAGGCGGGACTGGCTGCTGCTCCTCAGAGACCACAGCCAGCCTCTTGGGCATGCACTTTCCTGAAGAGCCTCTATCCATCTCTCAGCATCAAGCAGGAATGTCATTATGCTGTGTGATTTGTTATTTTTTTTATCCTAAGGAATTGACCGTGTTTTCTTGGCCGTGTTTTTGGAGACTATCCACGCTTCCAAATCCCCACTCCCTTGCTTTCTGGGCGTTTGCTAGTGAAACCTGACTGCCCCAGACCGCACATCAGCCCACCCTCCTGTTTACACTTCTGCACGCCTCACCGTAAAAATAGCTTCATCGGAACCGCTGTGTCCCTAGCCAGAATCTCCCCCCAACTTCAAATCTTACACCCCGGCTTGTGGCTTCAGGTGGTAGATGCGGTTGATGGATGCAACTAGGTGATAACTAGTGATTGGCTGATAAACGTTTTTCTTCCGTTTGATCAGATGCTCAGCATTGTGTGGGAGTGTGGTACTTGGCCTCCACCCACACCCCCAGTGTCCAGATTTCATTGTAAAGGCACCCCATATTTTGGAACTTACGGCCTTGCTGCCTAGTTCCTTCCTATCTCAGCCCAGATTTTGTGGCTAAATGTATAAAGATGAATTCTGAGCCAAGAGACGATTTCTTTTAGAATATCGTTAATCTTCTGAAAAAAAGAAATATTACATCCAGCAAGCACTGGGGAAGAGGTAAAACACATTCACAACCTGTGTCAACATACACACACAGCTCAGCTCTGACTACTTAGGTGACTTTAGGCGAGTCACCTAATCGCTTTAGATTTCACTTTCCTCATTGCAGACATAGCTGTTCATACTTGTTCTGTCTTCTCTACGGGATTGTTATAAATGAGAAAGTCATTGTCCTTAAGTACCATACAAATGTAAATATACTCAAAACGCAGTGAGAGTGTTTCGAACATTCGAGGTGACGTATTAAGAAATGATGTTGGACAGATGAGCCCGTGGGAGACGTGTGTGTCATAATCCGGTTTTTCTCACCTTATTAAGCAGGGCGTGTTAGCGCAGGAGACGTTCCTCAGCTTGGGAGGGTTTTTGTTGATCCAGAGTTATTGAAACACGTACCATGCAATTCATTAAGTGAAGTTGTACAATTCTGTGGTTTTATTTTTAAATGTGTTTACAGAATTGTGTAATCATCACAATCGATTTTTAAAACACTTCCGTCAGCCCATTTCCCCCGACGCTGGGGAATTCATTAGCAGTCCCTCCCCGCTTCCTCCCAAAGCCCCCAGCCCTAGCCAACTAGTAATCCACGTTTCTGTTTCTGTAGATGCGCCTCTTACAGGCATTTCACATAAATAGTTTATACAATAGTTCATTTGTGACTGACTGGCTTCTTTCACTTAATGTCTTCAAGGTTCATTCGTGTTCATAGTATGTGTCAGAACTGCGTTCTTTTCTTTGGCCAAGAAATATTGCATGGTATGGATATAGACCACATTTTGTTTATCTGTGCATCAGATGGTGGGCATGGAGGCTCTTTCCTTTTTTTTTTTTTTTTTTCTCTCTTGTGACATGCTGCTGTGAACATTTGTATGTTGGTATCTGTTTTCATTTCTCCGGGGCACACACCTAGAGGTGGAGTTACTGGGTCATATGGTAACTCTGTATTTAATATTTTGAGGAACTGCCATGCTGTTTTCCAGAACACCTGCCCCTTTACATGCTCACCAGCAGGTGGGAGAGTTCCAATTTTTCCACGTCCTCATCAGTACTTGCCATTATCGGTATATTTTTTATTATAGCCAGTAAGCATACGCAGGGGTGTCTCACTGTGACTTTGACTTGTATTCCCTAATGACGTGACATTAAGCATCTTTTCATGTGCTTGTTGGCCATTTCTGTATCTTATTTGGAACAGCGTCTATACAAATGTCTGCTCGTTTTTCAGTTTGGATTTTTGTATTGATGAGTTATAAGAGTGCTTCATATATTTTGGATGCAACTCCTTTATATGATTCACATATATTTTCTCCCATTTGTGGGTTACCTTTGTACTTTCTTGATGGTGTTTTTTAAAGCACAAAAGTTGATGAAATCCAGTTTAACTCTCTTTCTCTTTTGTTGCTTGTGTTTTTGGTGTCGTATCTAATAAACCATTGCCTACTCCAAAGTCACAAAGATTTACTCCTGTTTTCTTCTAAGAACTTTATAGTTGTGGCTGTGACAAGATCATAGCTCTAATGATTCATCTTGAGTTAATTTTTTATGCGATGTGATTCATAGTGGTTCATTCTCATTTTTTCCCATGTGCATATCCGTTGTCCCAGTACCGTTTGTTGACAAGATAGTTCTTTCCCTTAATGAATTGTCTTGGCACCCTTGTCAAAAGTCAATAAATGTAAGTAATTAATTCCAATGAACTATAAATCTGTTCTTTTGCCAGTACCGCACTAACTTGATTGCATTGTAGTAGGTGTTGAAATCCTGAGTCTTCTAGCATTGTAGTAGGTCTTAAAATCAGAAAGTCTGAGTCCTCTAACTTTGTTCTTCTTTTCAATATTGTTTTGGCTATTCTGGGTCCCTTGCATTGTCATATGAATTTTAGGATTGGCTTCTACTTTCTGCAAAAGAACTAGTGTGTGTTCTGATAGGGATTGCATTGACTGTGTAGATCAGTTTCAGGAATATTATCATTTTAACAATAGTATCTTCCAATTCATGAACATGGAATATCTCTCCATTTGTTTAAGCTTTCTTTCATTTCTTTAAACGATGTTTTATAGTTTTCAGAGTACAAGTTTTACACTTCATTTATTAAATCTATTACTAAATACTTTATTCTTTTTGATGCTATTGTGAATGGTTGTTTTCTTAACATATTGTTCATTGCCAGTGTAGAGATATACAATTTATTTCAGTTGCAATTTTACCCTGGAATTTTGTTGAAGTTGTGAATTAGTTTTATTAATGTTTTAGGAGATTCCTTAGAATTATTTTTTTTAGATACAAGATCATGTCATTTGCACCTAGAGTTGTTCTACTTCTTCCTTTCCAATCTAGATACTTTTATTTCTTTTCTTCCCTAATTGCCTTAGTGAGAACCTCTGATACAATGCTGAGTAGTAGTGGTGAGAGTGGACATCATTGTCTTATTCCTGATCTTAGGGGGAAAGTCTTCAGTCTTTCACTAAGTATGACATTAGCTGTGAGTTTTCATAGATGCTGTTTATCAGGTTGAGGATGGTCTTTTCTATTCCCAAGTTATTGAATGTTTTTATCATAAAAGGGTATATGATACTGTCAAGTGACTGTTCTGTGTCATTGAGTTGATTGTATGGATTTTTTGGTCCTTTATTCTGTTGACATGCCAAGCTACATTAATTGCCTTTTGGATATTAAACCAACTTTGCATTCTTGGAATAAATCCCACTTGGTCGTGCTATTTAATCATTTTTATATGTCACTGGATTCAGTCTGCTAGTATTTTTTGTGGATTTTTGTATCTATATTCACAAGAAATACTGATCTGTAGTTTTCTTTTTCTTGTGATATCTTTGTCTGGTGGGAGTTCTTTTAAGTCACCCAGAATTGGAGGTAAGGAATGAATTTAGGGTGAGTTTTTCAGGGCAGAGAAAAAAATTTGAATCATTGTTGTCATGATGAGAATTCTACCTGCAGGACATGAGAGTCCTTAGCAGAACACAGCCTTGAAACACAATGGAACGTCCACAGGGTTTCAATTGAAGAGCTGTATTTGCTAAATGTGTGACTTCAGCCAATTACCTAGGATCTCCTCCCTTCCAAACTTGGGGTAACAGCAGGTTTTGTTACTGGGATGCATAAAATAATGCATATAGAAAGAGTTTTGTTAAAGGCCAAGTACGATTAAAATTACAAATTCCTTCGCCTCATAGAGAGAAAAGAGAACACAGGTAAGAACACGGAAGGGGCAGAAGAATATCGTCTCTGAAAAGACCTAGGTAAATTTTTGAGGCAGAGCATGGTTGAACAAAACAAGTGCGATGATCCCTTTAATGCACAGATGGGTGGTGTGAGTGTTGTGGTCACGTGGTTCCCTTTATTTCAAGTGTGTGTGTGTGTTGGGGGGGGGGATTAGTGTAGATTTCCCTAAGGGGAGTTTCTATTCCTGGGGGCAAAGAGGATGACAATGTGTTTTGTGTGTTTTACTTTACATTGCTTTATTGCTGTTACACAAAATTACATCGAGTTTAGCAAATCTTCATGGCATTATAACCCCCTGCTAAGAGACAGATTTTTCTAGAGGCTGTTTGAGAAACATAAAAGAACCCTGCTCGGAAGGGACTCTGAGTTTGCCTGTTTGTTTGAACTCCCTCCAGAAACAAAGCCCGCCTGCGTATTCAACAACGTGGAGTATAACGACGGGGACATGTTTCGCTTGGACAAGTGTCGGTTCTGCCGATGCCAAGGGGGCGTCGCCATCTGCTTCACTGCCCAGTGCGGGGAGCTGAACTGCGAGAGGTACTACGTGCCCGAAGGGGAGTGCTGCCCGGTGTGCGAAGGTGAGGGATGCGCTCCTTAGAGAGGAATACGCGTCTTCATGGCTCAGAGTTCTGGTATCAAAACTGGCCTAGTTCCGTCTCACCCCCAAGTAGAGGGTTTTTGCAGGAGTTTCCTGCTCAGGACACGGTGCTCTGTCTTTTAGGACTTGTCAGTGCCACGTAGGCTGTGGAAATACTGCCCCAAAGGAAGTTGTGCCCTGGGGGTAGACGGCAGGTCACCTGTCTCCACGGGGCATCGAGAGATCTCCCGGGAGTGCTCGCGGCTCCTCCCCTGCGTCCCCACAGTTCCTTGGCAAGTCCTGGGGACCCTCTGCTCACCGTGCTCTAGACTTCACTCCTGCTCTCCTCGGGTGGCTCAGCTAGGGCAGGGTGCAGCCCTTGTCACCCACAGTCTCAGCCAGCTCAGAGAGGAAGTCGCCCTGTCCTTTCCGCCACCCACGCCCTGCCAAGTGGGGCCAGGACCCTGCTGCTCCCCCTCCTTTGAGACTGTGTGGAGGTGAGTGCGGGGTCATTGGTGGCATGGCGGTGGCCGCCGGGTATCAGGTGTGGCCCTGGACAGAAGGCTCTCAGGAGCCTGCTCTATGTTCCCTTCTTCCCCCCAAGAAGTAATAGTTCCATGTTCCCCACCGGGTGCTGCCCTCCCATGGCTGCTATTCAGAAATAATGAACATTTCAGGATGATAACTCTGAACTTCATTTACTACAACCCATGCCTCTTAGGGATTAGGATGCGAAAGTTCAGAAAAGTAGCCACTGGTCAGAGACGGCAGTGAAGTCGGAAACACCACGCCCTGCCCGACTGTGTCTCTGGTCTGTACACACTCCTCCGTCCCTGGGTAGGAAGGTCGGCGAGCCTGCTGGCCCCGATGGACCGCAGCCTTCAGTCTGCAGTGGGATATGTCAGTCTCGTCTGACACAGGAAATGGGAAGGCAGGATGCCATGCCATGTGACACGCTTTCCTCTGTTATCCTCGAACCCTTTTCGATGTTTGAGTGATATTTAGCACACCATATTGAAGATCTGAAAACGTGTAAAGTATGCAAACTGCATCCCTCACACCGAACAACGGTTCATAGCAGCGAAGTCCTTTCCCCTACTAGACACTATCTGAGCCAGCATGGGAGAAAGGGGGTTCACTTTTTAGGTGCCGTTGGGATTTTTAAAAATCACATCAAACTTTGACCCTTCCCCGTGACTGAGTTCCCTAGCGCCCCCAGGAGGTAGTAGACTCTGAGACCACCTGGCAGTGGGTGGTGTGAAAACACCGATAGGACCCTCTGTGTGATCAGCATAGTGAGTTGTCTGGGCACGGACCCGGGTATGTCTCATTTCCTGGGACTTAGACCCAGGCTCAAAGTGGACATGTGATGTTTTTTATAAGAAATGGATAAAGTCGTATCTGACTCAGGTCTCTTGGCCGCCTCCATAGCTGGCAGATTGCCTTTCTAACGAGGCGGCTGCTTGATTTTAAATGTTGGCCTCATTGTTATACATATTACCCCTTTAGACTACAGAGAACCATGCTCACAACTGTGTGGACCTCCCTCCCCGCACGGCAGCACTTGCTTCTTGAGACCAGCTTGTTTGATTCTGAAAAAGAAAATGCAGTGATGTGTCTGGTTGCTCTCATGGTAATGATATGTGGAGGTTTAGTATGCAGCATGTCTGTCCTGGTCAGTAACCTCACAAAACGTGGTTTCAGTGGCCTCAGCTATTTTTGTCCTTCAACCTGGGCCGCTGCTTGGCTGCCAGCTCACGGGAGACCTATGGCGAGGTTTATAATTTCCCGCCAGGCGCAAGCAGTGGCCCTGCTGACCTTCAGCCAGCCTGGTTCTGAGCAAGGCCACAGTGAGAGCCCGCCCTCTCCTCGCCGTTGTCCATGCTGACCTCCAGCCACCATGAGACGGAGCTCCGTTCCTCCTGGAAGTAGCAGTGGCGCCCTGAGTTAGACGGGCATCACCGCTTCACAGGCAGTGAAACTGGGGTGCGATAGATGTGTAAATGGACAGCTCGGAAGACGTGGTCAGAGCCTGCAGTGGATCTGAGCTTTCTGATTACCAGCCCCCAGCTCTGTGCCTAGTGTTGTGCAACTTTGCTTTTGGGGAGGGGGGAGTTTTCATTTTGTTGGGTATTTTGTTTATTTGTTTTAATATAAATTTTTATGGTTTCAGAGAGGAAGGGAGAAGGAGAGAGAGATAGAAACATCAGTGATGAGGGAGAATCATTGATCGGCTGCCTCCTGCATGCCCCACACTGGGGATCGAGCCCTCAACCCGGGCTTGTGCCCTGACTGGGAGTCAAACTGACCTCCTGGTTCATAGCTCGATGCTCAACCACTGAGCCACACCTGGCCGGGCACCAAGCATTGGTTTTTAGGCCATATGTCCCCTGTCCTGGGTGCAGCAGCAGGATGAATGGACAGGAATTGAGTGTGACAGCAGCTTTTGCTTGTCCCCAAGGGACACCTCCTGCAGCCCTGAGCTTCTGTGGACCACAGCTGGAAAAGAACTGCTGATAAGTAGAACCCGGGAAACCGTCTGTAGGTACAGACAGAGAAACGACGTGGAATGCCCTGGATTTTACTGGGAACTCTTGTTTTCATTTAGATCCGGTGTATCCTTTTAATAATCCCGCCGGCTGCTATGCCAACGGCCAGATCCTCGCCCACGGAGACCGGTGGCGGGAAGACGACTGCACGTTCTGCCAGTGCATCAATGGGGAGCCCCACTGCGTGGCCACGGTCTGCGGGCAGAGCTGCATGAACCCCGTCAAGGTGCCCGGGGAGTGCTGCCCCGTGTGCGAAGGTAAATCCTGCCGGTTCTAATGAGTCCCTGGCGTATGTCTCGTGTTGGATGAGCTTCTGCCAGTGTGTTCTTGTTTGTTTTTTATTTCCTTGGGCATAACGTCTGCTTCCTGCTGTTACCGGCAGCAGATAAATTTATCATTTTGGAGAAGTATTGCACATTTACAGTGAGTGTCATGGGGTCTTTATTTTACCGCTGCAGATAGGCTAAGCTGAATAATTTACAAGCATGTATACATTTTCATGCAGTTCCCTTGAAGTCTAATTAATATCCGAAGGTTAGTGCAGTGAAATAAAATGGGAAACCAGCCCATGAGTCCAGCCTTGCATGTTCGACTTGTCATGCCTCCCGGGGCCCGGGAGTCCTGGGGCTAGAAAAGGCACCTGGAGCCATGGGGAGGGTTTCCCTGCCTGCTGCCCTGCCCCCGAGCATCCTTTCTATTTCAAATTTCATGAGACTGTGGCTTTGCCCTCGGGCTTTTACTGATGTCTTGGTTCTTACGTTCACTCCCTGTCATCCTGTTGGGAGGAGAGGAGCCTGAGGTATTCCGAACCCCAGTCTCCCTCCATTTCCCATGTCCTGGGAAGGTTCTTCACACACACTGTCCACCTCGGTTACTACAGAAAAGGGATGGAATTTTTACACTGACAGGCCCAATAGAGAGTATTTGTCGTTAAGAAGCACATTTGCATGGTAAAGTGAACTAAAGTGGGTCAAAAATTAATCTGTGTTGAAGATGGATCCTTCTAGCATTTTTAAAAGTAGCTATTAAGGAAATGACAGCTCTTTTCAGAAATTCATTCAGTAGACTAAGTCCTCTGTCAAGAAGTCTTTTGCTTCCACCTAAATTTTCATAAACGCAGACGTCAGAGTCTGCCTGACTTGCTTCATTAACCTCTGAGGGGTTAGCATTTTGGAAGAGCTTAAAAATTGTATAAAAATGGAAATTGGAGGACTCCAGTTCTATCAACATCACCAATTCCCTCCCTGTTCCTCCACTCGGAGCACAGCTGCCACACTTCCGGGCTCGGTCGCTTCCAGAGGACCGGCTGAGTGGCAGTCACCCACTCCCTCACGTGTACGCTCCTCCCAGCCCCTGAAGGCAGCGTGTCCGTCCTGGAAAAGGAGTGGACAGAAATATGTGTGTCTGGTGGACACTTGGCTTTACAAGCCTGCCTTGTCACAACAGATAACAGCGGGACCATCTGTTCTTAGGGACAGTCTGTTGTCAACTTGAAACATTTAAGTGTATACATGTGCGTGATAACGTAAGAACAATCAAAAGCAGAAACATGGCATCCGCTAAGCAACTAACTCTTTAACTTCACAAATCTTGAATCATACATGGAAAGCAAAACTGAGAAAACTTATTAAGAAAACAGGGCCTTTCTGAAAGTGGATGGAGGGCAGGCAACTCTTTTGTGCTCGTCATCATCGTTAGCCTATTTATCGTGGTGAGTAGAGGAGAGTAGAAATAAATGTATGTGAAACTAACTGATTGGTTCTCACGCCTGTAGCTTGCATAGCGAGGGAATGCTAGTTTGATCACTCGAGCTCGGTGTCTGCAACATATGCATGGAATTGTAATCTACTTGTCCCCTGATAAAAGAATGACAGCTTTGGTTAGCCGTTAACTCCATAAAACTTAGGAAGAACCTCCCATAATCCTCGTACACCACGGACACAAAGATGAGTACGGACAACTCCTAGTTAGCTTCTCAGAAAACGTTCAGGCTGTTTGAATTTAAACCTGGAGACAAAGGCTGCCCACGTTCAGATTGTGTGGGGCGAGTGCTTTGTTTGTGAACCTGGTTCCAGGGAATCCTCCCAGCAGCACGGTGCTGAAGGCCTGCTCGTGAGTCCCTGTTAGGGAGAAATGAGCGTTCAGGGAGGTGTAGGTCATTTCCTCCAAGGCCGCTTGCCATTATGTGGCCGAGCTGTCGGATTCAGCTACATGGTTGTCTGCTGACCCTGCTCCCAAATGTCAGCTCAGTTTACTCCGGCCCCAGTGTCTAGTCCCCTCGCTAATCGCTCGTCATCTCTGGTTTGGGCCCTGTGTTGGGAGAGAGAGGAGTGTGGCCACGGGAAGGAAATCATTTGTAGGTCCCCCAGGTGTTTACGATGTGATCGTCCACCTGTCCTCTCCTGCCACCTGGGGAAGGGGGCCTTCGGGACACATCCTGGATCTGCTTCTCAGGCCTCAGGTCGTGAGGTTCTTCTGGTTCCTGCTCTTTTCTGCCCCCTTCATGCTCTGCATGAAACCTTTTAAGAGACTCCTCCGTCTCGTTCTCAGGGAACTAATTTATCTTGCGTTTCTTGTTTTTTGTTTTTGACTGAGTTAAGTAATGAGTCTTATGTAAGATGGTATTTGCTCTCCAGTAACCTCTCATTTTAAGATGTAGTAGGAAGACAAATTCTTCTGGTGTGGGGTGGAAAAACAGTGCGCAGCTTAAGATCATGACACTAACTACGAGGTAATTTATTATTAGTAATAAGGAGGAACTTACAAAATAGTGCCAGGTGAATGAATTCTATTACTTTGTTTGTGGGACCTAAAAATGTCTGTAGAACCAGTTGAAGATATTTTTCTCAGTGGCATATTTAAATAGGATTTCAAGTGATTTCAGAATGGCAAACAGATGAGATGAAATAAAAGCAAGGTTAATGTGTAATGAACAGTCAGTCAGCATTATTTAGAGAAAAACAGAAACACTGGTGTTCATGCAGCTTATCCACACAATAAATTCCTCTGAGCACAATTGCATAACGAATTTTGGCCCTCACCCGGTTAGCTACAATCCCAAGGTGCGTAGTCAGAGCCTGAAGTGATATGAAAGGACCCCACACCAGGACTGTGGTTTTAGATTTTTTTCCTAAATAAATTGCTGCATTCCCAAATATGGTGTGTTAGGACCCACAGGGAGGGAGGACCTTGTTGTGGCTGTTGTTGTTAAAGATACATACCTTCCAAGTGACAGCATAACGGGCTGGGTAGAGCCCTGGGGACGTGAGCCTGGGGGCCCTAAAAGGCTAGGCTGCTACCTGACAGCTAACTCATTCACAAGTACCTAAGTGCTTTTTAAATTGGCACTTGAGTCCTCTCCTGATTAAGTCTGACCATGTTATTGTCAACACCCAATTCAGGTATCCAGATAAGCCACCCCTGTCTGTAAGTCTGTCACTGATTGTGTCCTTGACTTGCTCTGCCGCCTTTTCTCTACTCCTCCTCTTGTTTGTCAGTCACATTATTTTTATTTGCTGGCTCTTGGAAAGAGCTAGGATGGGCATGCATGAATAGCAGGCGAGGTTTGCCACTGACGTGTACGTATGGAAGCTACGTCCTTAATCCACCTCACAACTAAAAACAAAAAAGGGAAGGCAGCACAGTTAGGTCTCCCTCAGCATCCAGCACCGTTGGCATCGTCTTATTTGCAGCCCTTAAGGACGGTAGCTAACGTTTCTTGCGCACTAACTGCGAGCCAGGCCTAGGTGCTGGAAGAGCATCATTGGGTCCTTACAACTTCCCTCTTTCGCAGATACTGTAGCCCAAATTCACATCTCAGGCTCCAAAGTACAGAGGTCATGGAACTTCCCCAAGGTCATGTAGCTGGAGAGTGGCAGGCAGTGTGTCCTCAGAGCCCAGCCTCTGGACCCTGCAGGCCCACTGCCTGAGACAAACAGGGCATGGCATCCCCCTTTAAGCCAATAGAGTGGAAGAGTGAGCTAGGAATTTACCATATTATTTTGAATCCCTAAAACAGCACCTGGCATGTCAATAGGTGCTCAAAATTGCCAAGAAATGATGCGTGAGCGAGCTGGGGAGGACTGGAGAGGCAGTCACCACCGGACTCCTCTCCGAGCCAGGCAGCAGGCCCTGATGTGGGGCTTCATACTCGGAGCCTCAAGTGCTGATGGCCTTTTGGACCTTGAAGAAAGAATAACGATCGGATATTTATATTTGAAGAAACGCATTGAGGCCAGAATGCAGTGTTACATGAAGTGTGTAGCACACCGTGGGTCCCCCTGTCCAGAGGCCAGTTGGACCAATTAGCGTCAGACTGACGGCTCCCCCTCCTGAGAGCCCTGAGCTTTCATCCGCTTCCAGGGGCTGCTGGGGGCCTCCCAGGATGGTTTGTGAAGTGTGGTTTATTCCCTCCCCGTTCGGCCCCTGAAGTGCGGAGTCACAGAGTGTAAGTGGGCTCCCCCAGGCCCTCCAAGGCCAATGCTCACTGTCACGTTTAATATACTGCTTTTCAATAAGACACGCCTTGTGAGTGTGTAGGTGCCACAGCTACTATTGTTATTCCAGCTACTTCTACAGGCAGGATTTTTTTTTTTTAAGATTTTTAAAAATAATGTTTTTGTTGAGTTTTTTAGAACGGAAGGGAGAGGGAAACATCGATGGGCTGCCTCCTGCACACCCCCTACTGGGGATCGAGCATGCAGTCCGGGCATGTGCCCTGACTGGGAATTGAACCCTCGACCTTTTGGTGCATGGGGATTTTTATTTTAATATCACAGTTAGCTAATTGCTAATTTCCCCCCCAATAAGATCAGGCATAAATGCTACCTAAGCTGATTCATAATGTCAGAGGGACCCTAGGGACAGAGTACCGTTTTCTGTTAAAAAATTTGTTTTATAAAGATAAGGTCTTGGGGAGGGAATTTTTGGTCGCAAGTTGTATGTGACGTGCCCATGATGACTCAACAAGAAAAATGCAGGCGATGGGGACAGGGGTGAGGCCAGCTTGGCTGCGCCACCTGATGCGGGAGAGAAGAATTCCATCATCACTTTGAAGTCTTGACGTCAGGCTTGGTGTGCTCTCACCTGAAGCTGTGACTGGATCCACCCAGGGGGCCACTGTGGTCTGCGTGGTCTTCAGGCCTAGTATGTGCAGGCTCCTGCTGGGAGCAGGTGATGGTGTTTATGACCTTGGGGATTTCAGAGCCAATACCAAGAGCATCACTTGTCAAGAACTTAGAACAACATAGGTGATATT